AGAGAGAGAGAGAGAGAGAGAGAGAGAGAGAGAGAGAGAGAGAGAGAGAGTATCCGATTATGATCTAATCAATCACGAACACATCTCATAGAAATCTATCAACACGTATTCATGTCATCGCTTAATTTTCAGAGTGAATGTATCTCCATACACGTCGGACATGCTGGAGCCGGAGAGCTCTCCTATTTATGTTGTTTGTGCACAGGACGGGCGTGCGGTGTACTTGTGTGTAGCAGATAAGCATTTGACCGGCATTTACGAGTAATTATTGGCAATAATAGGTGAAATAGAGTAGAGAAACATTAAGACTTTGGTAGTAAATACATTTCGTGTTTATTTACCATTATTTTTATTGAGACGTTCTAAGTGCCTGTGGAGATGCGCGTTGCAGTTGGAAAAGCGGGTGGAGCATTGGGAAGCGGTGGTCCCAAGGCATATTTAAGTGCTGTCCATGCTTTGGCAATCCTCCAGGCTTAATCACTTTATTTGTCCGCTTTCCGATTTGCTTTCTGGCATTGGACTTCAGCTTTTGTGCTATTAGGAAAATAACCTTTTTCAGCGATCTGTTGGACGCTGCATTACAGAAAATGTGAATACGTGGAGAACAATGCTGATTTCGAATTACCATGTACTATATTAACATCGCAATCAACTCTACATGCCTTCGTGAACCTCAGTGTGCAATTTAGGTAGGTAAACTGCACTGGACCCTCACGCAACCGAACGACGCACAGTTATTGCCTACAGTTGGGAGAAGAATGTCAGACTTGCATGCTGCCTGTTCACGTGGGGACGTTGAGGAAGTGTTAGAACTTCTGCGAGGTGGAGCGAAAACATCGTGCGTGAACGTACGCATGGAGACACCTCTCCACGTCGCCTGCACACTTTCGCGGGACAGGACGGAAGAGAAGATGGAGATTGTGAAACAGCTGCTGCTGCATGACGCTCCCCTGCAAGAGGAGGATGAGCGCGGGCGAACGCCTCTCATGCTCGCCTGCGAAACAGCCAGCGCGGATGTTGCAGCCACGCTGCTAGACAATGGAGCGGATCTCTGCACAAGTTACCGTGGCGACAAAACGATGCTGCACGCAGCCGTGGCCGGCGGAAACGCGCGGGTCCTGCCACGCGGCTTGGTTTGGCCAGCTGGGCATCATGCGCCTGCTACTGGAGGCCGGTGCAGATCCAAACGTCGCCGAGACGAAGACCGGGAGGACGCCACTGATGATGGCGGTGAGGGAGGGCGATTAGGCGATGGTGCGGATGCTGCTCTCACACGGCGCCGACGCCAACGTCGCGGACTCGTACGGGAGGAACTCCCTGCACCACGCGGCTAGCTCTGGCCAGCTGGACATCATGCGCCTGCTACTGGAGGCCGGCGCCAACCCCAACGTCGCCGTGACGAAGAGTGGAGCGACGCCGCTGATGAAGGCGGTGAGTAAGGGCGAGGAGGCGGTGGCGCAGATGCTGCTATCACACGGCGCCGACGCCGACGCCGCGGACTCGTACGAACAGACCTCCCTGTACCACGCGGATGGCTTTGGCCAGCTGGGCATCATGCGCCTGCTACTGAAGAACGGCGCCGACCCCAACGTCGCCGTGACAAAGAGTGGAGAGACGCCGCTGATGAGGGCGGTGAATAAGGGCGAGGGGGCGATGGTGCGGATGCTGCTCTCACACGGCGCCGACGCCAACGCCGCGGACTCGGACGGATGGAACCCCCTGTACTATGCGGCTTACTTTGACCAGCTGGACATCATGCGCCTGCTACTGGAGGCCGGTGCAGATCCAAACGTCACCGAGACGCGGATCGGGGAGACGCCGCTGATGAAGGCGGTGAGTAAGGGCGAGGGGGCGATGGTGCGGATGCTGCTCTCACACGGAGCCGACCCCAACGTCGCCGAGACGAAGAGGGGAGAGACGCCGCTGATAATGGCGGTGCTTATGGGTAAGGAGGCGGTGGTGCAGATGCTCCTCTCACACGGCGCCGACGCCAACGCCGCGGACTCGTACGGACAGACCTCCCTGCACATCGCGGCTCGCTGTGGCCAGCTGGGCATCGTGCGCCTGCTACTGGAGGCCGGCGCCGATCCAAACGTCGCCGATACGGAGCACGGAGGACGCCGCTGATGATGGCGGTGAGTAAGGGCGAGGAGGCGGTGGTGCTGATGCTGCTCTCACATGGCGCCGACGCCAAAGCCGCGGGCTCGTACGATACACCTCCCTGCACAGGGCGGACCAGCTGGACATCATGCTCCTGCTACTGGAGGCCGGCGCCGACCCCAACGTCGCCGTGACGGAAGAAATGAAGAGTTTCACCGCGTTACACTACTCCTGTGATCGACTTCGAACCGAGGTAAAACTACGGGTGTACGTTGCGAATGATTGAGACCGAATTTTAGCAATGTCCTAATGTATTTTCTTATAGATGGTAAAGGTAATCAGTAATGGTAATCGGTTAACAGTTAATAATAGATATGTTAAATAGTTTCACCGCATTACACTACTCCTGCAATCTACTCGGGACCGAGGAAAAATGCGGGCGTACGTTGTGAACGATGGAGACAATTTTAGCGACGTTCCAATGTATTTTTGTCTAGATAATAAAGGTAATCAGTAATAATAATCGGTTAATAGTTAATAATAGATATGTTAAATAGTTTCACCGCATTACACTACTCCTGTGATCGACTTCGAACCGAGGTAAAACTACGGGCGTACGTTGCGAATGATTGAGACCGAATTATAGCAATGTCCTAATGTATTTTCTCATAGATGGTAAAGGTAATCAGTAATAGTAATCGGCTAACAGTTAATAATAGATATGTTAAATAGTTTCACCGCATTACACTACTCCTGCAATCTACTCGAGACCGAGGAAAAATGAGGGCGTACGTTGAGAACGATGGAGACAATTTTAGCGACGTTCCAATGTATTTTTGTCTAGATAATAAAGGTAATCAGTAATAGTAATCGG